TGTACAGCACTGCTGGTTTTCTGTACAGCGTGTCTGGTTTTCCGTTGGGGGTGTCTGGTTTTCCGGGCGGAAAACGGTTATGGAGCTGGAAAACCAGTTTTGCACTTGTTTCCTCCTGGTGGTGTGATGTGTGGCACTTGCTTACACGAACACACACACGTACACATTCCACTCACCCCACCCTCTCTCTCTCTGTGTCTGTCCCTATGCGTGCGTGCGTCTGTGCCGTGTGTGGACGTCAGTCAGGTCAGTGGACAGCTAGCTGCTTGTGAGTGTGTGTGTGTGTGTGTATGTGTGTGTGTTTCTTTTCCGTGGGTTTGCCCACGCCTCTGTGCCGTGCCGCTTCCAATTAGTATCTATCTCCTGCTTGGCACATAGCGAGCGGATCCATCGATGCTGATAGATAGCATGTCTTTTATCGATGATGTTCCAAAGGTTAGTGAGAATGCGTCACATCCACCTCCTATGCACCGACGTAAATTCCTGCGCCGACGGATGGAAAGGCTCAGCAAACGAGTACCTGCGCGAATATTGCAGGCATCCTTCACGACAACGACATCTGAAGTGAGATCTGGGGCAGCGGCAGCGGCCGCTGCGCTGTTATGGACTCTGGTCTTCGTGTGCATCTTGGCGCCGGCGGACGCTCAAATCCTCAACCCGGACGCACCTGCCGTCGGCAAGTCCACTGCGTAAGCGCCAGACAGCAAACAAACGTCATTTGCAATGGCTACCACTTGGATGGATGGATGGATGGGTTCAGATGTCCACACGAGTTCTACGACACGGTGAGCAACATAACGGTGATCAGCGAGGGTGAGGTCATCAGGCGCGACATCGTGGCCAACCACAGCCACCTCTACTTCTACAGAAACGTCAATGTCACCACCATCAACCAGCCCGACGCCTATAGGAAACTCATCATACACCTCGAGCCCTGCAGGGGGGTCGTCTACCTGTACGTCAGAAAGACAAGACAATGCTACCCTGACCCTTACTCGGGCACCTGGTGGGTGGGTGGGTGGGCGGGTGGGTGCGTGGGTGGAGGGAGGGAGGGCCGGGCGAAGGAACAGATGCCACATGCACAGACTTTTGTGTGGCGTTGTGTGTGTGTGTGTCAGGACTCATTTCAAGAGCGTGACGGATGGGTCGCGAGATGGAGCTCCGTCGTTCTTTGAGGTGCCACTCGTGTCCACAGAGGTTGGTAGCCAGGCAGCAGACTGCACGTTCAGGCCTTTCTCAGTTGGCGTCCCTTCCGAATGTGTGTAGTACTATTTTGCCGTGTATGCGAGGACGATGGCCAGCTACACATTCACAGTCCTCGCCGACATAGGTGGGTGGATGGCTGGGTGGAAAATGCGCACGGATGCCCAAGCTCTTCCACTCCCAATGGATGGATGGATGGATGGATGGGTGGGTGCAGGTGCATTCCCGAGGCCGGGAGTGCAGGGGAGACTGAACATCAAACAACTCTCAGGTGCGTAAAGGAAGGAGACCAACCCCGTCCCCACTTGTCTTTGGCTGTCTGCAGAGCTGAGTGTGGAGCTGCAGTGGACCCCTGCCAGCTATGTGCCCGTCGGTATGTGCGCCCCGCCCCCCCCACATATATGATAAATGGCAACATACAGCGAATGCCACGCGTCGCGTGTGGCTGTGCTGTGCCGTGCTGTGTGGTGTGCCTGCACTGCAGGTATCAGCGAGACGGAGGACTACAGTGTGTATTCAGCTCTGCTGCTCGACACCGACAACAGGACCGTCCCTGCTGTATTCCTCAAAGCTGGTGAGTGAGCCCCCCTGTGTGTGTGTGCACATGACACGCATCTATGTGTGCTGTGCTGTGCTGTCTGTGCTGCGGGGTGTGGTGTCAGATCGCATCTACAACACTGTGTGTGGCTTGGAGCTCAACACCTTCAGGCCGTACACAACCGTCCCCGGCTCAGCGTGCGCAGGCGGTAAGTAAGGCAACGCACTTCACAGCATAATCGTTTGTGTGGCACCCATCCATCCATCCATCCATTCATGTCTCGCTCAATTCAGGTTTTTGCAACGCCACCGTCGAGGGCATCAGCCCACGGAAGAAGTAACTAGTGAGATTCTTTCGGTGTCGCATTGGGCGTCTGACCTTCTTCCTGCAGGTACATGTTCAACGTTGTGGCGAGGTCCTACCGGAACTACTCAGTGGCGTACGCCGGCATGGTCGTCCAGAAAAACTGGGACGTCGGTGCGTACGAATGAATGGGTTGAGGGATATCAGAGACACAGACATGTTCATACGGTCTGTGTCGTTATGTCGTGGTGTGTTGTGTTGTGTTGTGTGTGTGTGCAGTGACGCAGGCGACGAGCGACAAGACGTTGCAGGTGGTGGGTGCGGTAGCGGGGACCATCATCGCACTGTGCGTCATCACATACCTGTGGCTGCTCAAAACGTACGCGTGATCGACAGACACCTGAATGGTGGTACATGGATGGATGGATGGATGGAACTCTTGCATGGGTGTGCGTTTCGATTGTCTGTCTGTCTGTGTGATGATTGAATGCAATGCATTGATGTGCATGCTGCCCGTCTGTCGGTCTGTGGTCCCTTCCTCCCTCGGAGCTCAACCAAATCATTGTGTCCGTCCGTCCGTCCGTCCGTCCACCTGTCTGTCTGTCTGTCTCTCTGTCGCTTCAAAGGAACAACATATCAATGGCTTATGTATGCACCCACCCCACACACACCTTGCAAAAAGAATCGTAGTCAGTGGTCGTCAAACTCGCCAACACGCACGTCATCCGCCTTGCCAGATCGTCCTGATGCGCCCCTGCAACACACAGAGACACACACACACACCAGGTCATGCCATTTCTCGCTCTGTGTCTCCCCCACCCATACCTACCCCTTTGGCTGTGTGTCGTTCCTGCTACTCGCTCCGCCCACCACAATGCGGCGCATGCCATCGTCAGATGTCGAGCGGCCGAACGAGGGCGGGTGGGCTGCCTTGCGTGGGGATGAGGGTGCGTTGGACTGCTGGCCGTCGCCGAGCGAGAAGGCCTCCACCTCATCCATCATGCCGCCACGCAGAGGGGGGCTCTCCACACTGGCCTTGTCCTGAACAAATACATAGAGGGTCGCAGTGCAGTTGATCGGAATGCAGGCTAGCTACATGCCATGATGTGATGTCGGTTCTTACGGGCGAGCGTGACGGGGCCTCGCTGCATTTGCCGAAGTCTGCGGTGCCGCGAGATCGCTCCGTGTCCCGGCCCTCCGATGGGTCCTCGTCCACACCAACAGGACCGCCACGGCCCCCCACACCCACACTCGAACCCACCTGCACCGCATTTATCCATCGACACCCACACGCAGATCCCCCCACTGTCCTCTGTACCTGTGGCTCGGGCACCGGCTGGCCACTGACGTCTTCCTCCGTTGTGGGCTGGTCCCGATAGAGTGCCGCCCGCACCTCCTTCTCAATGCACTGCGCCACAGGGCCCGACATGCTGTGCCGCCCCGTCATGGCAGACAGCTGCGTGTACAGCGGCTCCTGCGGACGCTCAGGCGAGTTGACCACCGAATGGGAGACGGGCGGGGGTGGGTGGTGCTGCTGGTGGTGCTGGTGGTGGTGGTGGTGGTTGAAGGATGAGTGGTGCTGGACGGAAGGCTGGGGCTGCTTGCTGGATGTGTTGGTGGTGCTCTGGCGTTTCTTGGGGGTGGCGAAGCGGATGACCGACTTGACGCCTTCGCGGAGCTTCTGGAAGCTGTTGCGACGAGACGACCCATCTGACACACACACAGACAGACAGAGATTTGTGAAGAATCACTGAAGGAAGATCTATTCCATGGATACATACAGGCAGACCAACAGGTCTACCTACCTGCAGCAGGTGGAGCGGACTTGCCCCTCCTCCCGGTGCTATCAGCGTCATCGCTAGCCGTGGCACTACCGCTCTGCGTCGTCAAGCCCGCCCCGTCCGCCTGGCTGCCGCTGCCCGAGCTCATCTTGTGCATCACGTGATAGCCACCGTCCGACAAGTGATGCGCCTCCCGATGCAGCTGCGCCCCCCGCTGCACCACAGACACCTTCTGATCCCCCCCACCGCCATGGTATGGGTCGAGAGAGTCACTGCTGTTCCTCAATGTGATCCATGTGCCGGTGCCCCTTCGGGCAGGAGGGGGAGCTTCCTTGACCATCTGCCTCCGTGGCTCGGGAGGGGGCGTAGACGGCTGTTTCACGGCATGCACCGGCTCGCGCACGTTCTGCATCGACCGAGACCGCTCCGGGAGCGGTGCCGGGGGTGGGGGAGCAGGTGTGGGGGTGGGTGCAGGCTCGACAAAGGCCGGTTTCTCGATCTCCTTGGTAGGGAGGGGGCAGGTCGGCGGTGGTGCGGGAACCATGGGCGGTGAGGGCGGGAGAGACTCGAGCAGAGGCCTGGTGAGCTGCTGCTGCTCCTGGGTCTTGGGGTGTGGCGGCTCCTCCTGCACAGTCGGCAGTACTATGGTGGCCGGCGGGGCGCGTTCCTTGGCCGAGGCGCGTAGGGTCATGAGGTTGGCCAGCTGGTTGGAGAGCGATCCTGGTGCCAGGTTGAGGTGGGCCTCTGCCTGCTCGGGGGAGGGCTTCGGGTGCGAAATGAAACCCTCAGACCGACGCAGGAAGTCACTGGATGGACGAGACATGGCGGATATATGACAACAGGCGAAGGATGGTCGTGTGCTGGCGTGGCTGTTTGGGTGTGTACGTGTGACGTGTGTGGGGTAGTACCGGTGTGCGGATGCGGTGATGGTGTGAATGGCGGCCTGTATGCGATTCGACTGGGGCGATGGGGCCGGCGCCGACACGTCGCTCGCCACACCTATATCGGGCTGACCTACCGTGGGCGGCGTCGATCTAATACACAAACAACGACACATACGTACGTAACTTTGTCTGGCGTCTGTCCCTCGTTCTGTCTGTCTGTCTGTCTGTCTGTCTGTTAATGTGTGTACTCTCGGGGGCGTTGGCCAGGGTGGAGACGCTGGCACTCTACCAGCCCGCCAAAGTACAATGGAATAAAAGATGTCGGCCGGTCGGTCGGTCGACAACGTGTGTGTGGTGTGGTGCGGTACCGTTGAGCTGATTCCTGAGTGTGGCGTTAGCGCTGTTGAGGTCCTTGACCTGACGCTCGAGCGCCTCGCGACGACGACCCTCCTGGATTGCACACCGTGCCAGACAGGTATATATACATGAGTGTGTCGTGTCTCGTAGGTATAGGCATGAGTGACATGATATAGACACCTCGTCTTTGTCTCTGTTGAGTTTCTTGAGCGTCTCCTTGAGTTTGGCGTTGGCGTCGAGGGTCTTGTCTAACTCTTTATCACGATCCATCTCCTGACACACACAAAGTGAGTGGACAGAGAGTAATCCGTGCAGCAAGGTGAGTGACATGTATGTCAGTCAGGTGTCTCTCTCCGCCCACCCTGCTGGCCGGGCTGCCGAATGCGGCGCCGACCTTGACGTCCTCACGCAGCTGCCGCACCTCATTCAGCACCGCCTCAACGTCATACTGCGCACACGAATCAGTCAATAGACGCACAACGACATGAAATCCGAGAGACCTTCCCGTCTTAGAGAGGTCACCTTTGAGTCGTCGTTGGTACGTGTGTCGTTGAGCCATCCGCCCTGTGTCTTGCGCATGGTCTGCATGGTCTGCAGCAGCCCCTCAACCTGCTGCAGCCGGCTCTCCAGCTGACCCACAGGCTGACTGATGTCGGCCTTTACACGCTCAGCGGTCTGAACACACACGTAGAAGAAAGACACACACAGACATGAAGGTAAGAGCATTATGTGCGGTCAGGCCAAGTGCGTGTCCGTCCACCTTTGCGGTCTGGTGGACGACCTGCGACTCAATCGTCTGCATCTTAGCCAGCAGCTGCAGACAGACACCACATAGCCCACCGTGAGACCCTCCAGCTGTGGTGTCTCTCTCTCATTACGTCTTTGCTTTGCTGTTCGTGTTTGGCGATGAGGCTCTGCAGTTTGGCCTCCATGTCCCTATCCGGCTGGCTCTGCACCGTACGGCCCCCGCCAGCCGTGGTGGTGCGGTCATGCAAATCCTGATCAACGGAGGCGGGAGGGAGACACGCATCATGATCTTCATGTCGTATACATATACCTAGGTACCTATCATTGTGTGTCCTTAGGTACCGTACCTACCTGCATCTCATGGCGGAGGTTGGTGAGGTCAGACTGCAGCATCCTGTGCGTGTCCTGTATCCGCGCATTGATGAGAGAGAGAGACATCTGCCTATTCTGTCCGTCAAGTTTGCGTCTGTCAGTGTCTCTCTCACCCTACCCTGAGGCCCCTCTGTATCTCCTCCTTAAGGGTAGCGAAATCCTCCCCCGCACCAGTCGGCATGGTCTCGCCCGCGTGCCTCTTCTGGATGTGGCTGTCGAGGTACATCGAGTTGAGGAACTTCTTGGCGCACCGGCCGCACTTGACCAGCACCGCCGTCCGCACACCAGCCCCTGTCTTGGCCTCAGTCGCCTCCCCGTCGTCCGCCACGTCGCATGTGCCCATGGTTTCCTGCTGGTTCTGGGCCAGCATCTCGTACACGGCGAGGGCCTTCTTGCGCTGCTTGAGGTCCTTCTTGAGTTCGCGGATCCTCTCCTGCTCGTCCTGTAGTGTGGCGTACGTCTCGTCGTGGTGCGCCTTGAGGGCGTGGTAGCCGTCGGTGAGCTGCATGGTGTGGTCCTCCAGCTGACGCACAGTGCCGTACAGGTACTCGAGCGCCAGCTGGGCCAGCTGGAACAGCTTGACGTACTGCACATCGCTGCACGCCTGCAGGTCGTCAACGTCGAAGTTGGCGTACCTGATTGATAAGAGAGAGGGGCAGGGGGGACAGACACACAAAGACAGACACACGCACCACAGAGACGGGGCGCCATCTTGCAAGACGGACCCTCATCCCCCCAGGGCCCTTGTTTGTCCGCTTACATGAGGTTCTCTAACTGAGCGACGAGCGTCTCCACGTCGCCCTCATGGATAACCCGCTCCAGATCAATGGCATATATCATCCTCCAGTTGATCTTGCCGTGTCGCTTCCCCAGAGGCGCCCGGTAGTAGGTGTTGACGGCTGTGTTGGGCCAGAAGGGCCTCTCCCCGGCTGCATGCTCCTCGTAGGGGCTCGGCGGCGGCAGCGGTGACCGCGGCCGGCCGGTGAGGCCTCGGGGGGCGGCGAAGGGAGACGATGAGCGGCCTCTGAAGGGGAACGTGGGCGGCGGAGCGAAGAACATTGACGGAAAAGACATTGACTGGGGCCGCTACTCTGACGTCAACTCAGTGGTTCACAGGACGCCAGTTGCGACAATTCCTACCACACGACATCGGAATGAACGTCTGTGCCGCGGCGAAGCTCAGAACAGCCAAAACGGCGGAAGGGGGCGATCGACTTGCGAGCTCGAAAATGCAATTCGTCGAACGACCGCAAGACCAATCAAGCCGGCCACGCAGCCCCTCAGATGATCTCGTTATCGCCAGTCTGCCTCGGGAGCGGTGGGCGCATCCCTCGCGAGGTCATCTTTCAGATAGCACGCGGCTTCTATGGCCGCAGCAAAGGGTGCCTCAAGCTGGCGGCGCGTAAGGTGGAGCACGCCTTGTTCAAGAGCTACCTTGCGCGTCACGACCGTTCGAGGCTGTTCAGGCGGCACTGGATCTCCCGCATCAACTCTGCCAGCAGGGAGTACAACATGCCCTACGCCTGGCTGCAGTGCGCCCTGCAGAGGGGCAACATACATCTGGACAGGTACGTCAACAGGGAGGGGTGCACGAAAGGCAGACAGGGGCAGGCAGATCATGTGCGTGAGCACGGTCGGCCGTTGTGCTGTGTGATGGGATGGGTGCAGGAAGACGCTGTGCACCCTCGCCGAGACGGAGCCCGTGAGCTTCAAGTGCGTGGTCGACGAAGCCAAGCGCCTCTTCTATGTAAGATCATGCCACACGCACCACACACCGAGAAGAATGTCTGTCACCTTGGTCCTGCTCCTGTTCCCTCCCTCAGGTCCCTCCATCCAAGAGGCGGGACACATCAGACCTGTAGCTGCCTGCAGCCAATGGACCGCCGAACGAAAAGGTCAAGTCAACATGTGGTGGTGGATGGCCTGCCTACGACGTGTACAGTACGGAGCTAGCGTACTGGATGGGACCAGAACAAACAGCATTGATGGGTTTTTCGGTGTGCATGTAAGTAAGGCTCTATCTGGCCAGGCAGGCCTGGTTGTCGCTTCTTGGATAGCGGAGGCAGGCAGGATGTCCTGATGTGAATGAAGTGGGCGACGTGTATAGTTCAGGATTGGGCTGACTCACGTGTGTCTGCATTGCCACGCCTCTCAGCATCCTACTCTGTGAGGTCGTCTTTCACGGCATGATCGGGCGCATAGCTTGTTTGCGACCGGCCATACCATGGAGGATGGCGCCAGAGAGCAGGCTCACGGGCTGAGGGTGCGGTCTTTGGTCTCTATCCGTCCCGCCACACTACGATGAAATGGTTGATCTCAGGGGGATATGCAGTCAGTCAGCAAAAGACAAAATGGTCCACATGCACGACCATGAAGCACTCGCTCGCTACCAGCCGACAGGCACCATGATCGATCAACAGACAAAGACCCCCACCTCACTTCGCACTCGCTGAGCAGGCCCCCGTGCACAGTCGTGCATCGACGAGACACCCCTTCCCCCTTCCCTCGCCCTATCGGTCTCATCCGGTTGCGGCAATGAGGGGCGTCACTCCCTTGGCCCCATCCTGGCCATCACACTCCTCTTCTCCGCACTCAAGCATGTTGTGATACTGCCTCGACAGCTGCACCGTGCTCTTGAGCCACACCGCAGTCGTTATCGTCAGCGTGAGGGCCAGCCATGGGGTGGCCGGCAGCAAATGGCCCATCTGCACAATGATGAACTGCTGCACCAGTGAGGCCACTGACTCGCCGAAGGGGATGCCGACCAGATCGATGGCCGCCTTGCCCTTGCTCTTGAGCTCCTGCCCGAGCGGCAGGTACGCCCACTCCTTGCACTGGTCCAGGAGGGCGTATCTGGCCGACTTGGAGAAGATGTTCTGGATGGCCCCCACCCACACGAGGAAGTCAAGGGGGATGGTGGACAGCAACGGGGTGAGGGGGCCGCCCCACCCGCCACGGCCCAACAGGCAGAGGAAGAACAGCAGGCCCGTCGACGACAGCACCACCGGAGTGATGAGGGCCGACGTGCGGAAGCCCCGCTTCTTCACGATCCACCGGTTCAGCAGCATTAGACCCATCGTGGCCACACCTGCAGGCAGGTCGTCCACAGCCAGAAGGAGGATGAATGGTCAACGATCCGTGGGTGTTGCGGCATCGCACCCACCTGACAGGGTGGAGTAGACGCCATAGAAGTTGGTGAGGGCATTGCGGTCCGTGTAGTACTCCCGAAGCAGAATCTTCCACACCACCTCCACTATGTTGAGCGACGCCCCGAAGCACACCAGCATCATGGCCAGGTTCTGGATGTACGAGGAGCTCGCCAGCAGCCGGAAAGTGGCCCGCACACCCAGTTTGGTCTTGCGGTTGTTCCTCTTCTCCTCCTTGACTGGCGCGGTCTTGTCTGCCTCCCCTGTCGGTGTGGGTGTGGGCCCTTTGGCGTTGCTCGGGGTGACGATGTCGCCGGGCGGGTATATCTTGGGATTGTTGATGAAGAACCGGTTCATGAACCAGAAGATGCCGGCGAATGCGAGCCCACAGCCGCCAAGGGTGTTCATGAGCCGCCGGAGGGAGAGGGAGAAGCAGTCCACTCCCGGAGGACAGCTCGCCGGCATGGTCGCCATGCGGCTGATGATGATGCCTGACGGACACATCCATGCATCCATGTGGATGAACGAACAGCGTGTGGGTGTGTCACGCACGTACGCACCTGAGATGATGAGCGCGATTTGCCCCCCGACGCCATAGAGAGGATAAATGTCCTGAGATTCCTTGACGCTGCTGACCTCGTTGCAGAAGCCCCAAAACAACAGACTTATCGTCACCGACCCCCAAAGCTCAGCGATGAGGTAATAAAGCGACACCGACCAATTCTGGATCACCTGCAGCAGCGACTCATACCTGAACAAAGCCGCAGATACACACACACATACGTGCCTATCCGCCCATGAGCCCTCACCGTGCGTGTCAGGCCTGTCTGTGGTTTGCTGTGGCTCACCCACCTACCTATATGCCCACGGCAGCTTCTCCTCGATGAAAGGGATAAGCCACGTTGGGTGGATCTTGTTGAGGTTGGGGAACACAAAGTAGGCGAAGCCCACAAAGAAGGCCAAGAAGGGGAAGAAGACCGAGTAGAAGAGGGTCTCCGCGCCGAGGAAGGTGGATATCTTCCAGTAGAGCTGCATGAACACCGCCGACAGGGGCAGGTTGACGTACGTCGACAAGAACGGAATGATCTCCGGGCCACCCGGGCAGCTGATAACAAGGACGTCTTTGGTGTCCCGAATTATGGTGCTGTTGAAAAGCGCCAAAAAGAACATCAGACCCAACAGTATCTGCTTCTGCCGATATATGGGGAGGCCGAGACGCTTCAAAGCGCGCCATGGCCGCCATCCCTTCTGTCTCTCGTGACTCTCATCAGCCCGCTTCTCCTCGGGCGGCGACGCTGGCAGGAAAGCATCATCGATAACCGGCGGACTCACGCTGGCCGCTGACAGCCGGGATCTCGGCCGTGGGCGCTGACGCTCGCCGCTCTGTGGCTGCTGGCGGACTTGCGAAGGCCTCCTGGCTGCGCGTGACCGCTGAATGCGCGTTGAAACGGGATAGAGGAAGGCCTCTGACGCACCTGTGTCGTCGCCGGCTGCTTTGCGGCGCCACTTGCTGCATCTGCGCCACGGCGGGTCGCCAGCCTGGGCAGATGGGAAAGATGACAGGGCATGTGGCCATCCCTCCAGGAGGCCTGATCTCGCCGCCAGGGCCGACAGCAGCACATGCCAGCCCATTTCGGCACTGGCGAACGATAGAGCCTAGCCGAACGATAGAGCCCAGCCCCTCTGTCGAGCGCGTGGAGAAAGCCAACGTCTGTACCTGCAAGCTTAGCTCGCGGAGGCGATCCCTTCCTCCCCTTCTTTTTCTTTCCTCCCCCTCACTCCCCCTCAGAGACCCCCTTCTCTGTTTCCCCACTGACGACCCGACACAACGAGATCTTTGGTTGGTCCATGAGGCGGTGTGAATCACAGCCAGTCTTCGAATTCCTCCATTCTCGCTCACCGTCCGGGCCCGACGAGATGAGAAGGCTCCAATCAACTGCAGGGGCTGCAAGCACAACCAGGAGGTGAGAGGGGATGGACAATCCAGGACAAACCTCCTCCCCCCAGAGCCCCTCACGTTGTGCGGCTTTCGTTTGTGTGTGTAGGCTGGAGGGGAGGCGTTCCTTCGACGTGCCGTCTGGCCCTGCACCCCTCATGCCCTATGACTTCATTGCAGATCCCCACCTCGGTGAGGACTTCCTTCTGGCATTGATCTGCTGCTGTGCCTCCCTCTGAGTCACCTATCTGCATACCCCGATACGTCAGGTCCTTTCTGGCAGAGTTCCATTCTGCTGAAGAACCTGGATGGTCTAGGCTTCGTAAGTGCAGGAGATCATCGACACACACGGCGTCCGAATCTTTCACCTTGTCTTCTTTCCCCCCTCATTCCCACAGATTGACGCGCAGTACGGCCCCGCCCGTCAGTGGTGAAATCTACTGTCGGTGTTTGTTTCGCAGCGGCCGTGTGTTGGGTCTGGACCACTTCCATCATCAGGAGAGCGTTCTTTTGAAGGCCATTGAAGCCGCACGAGCGATGCGCCGACGACAGACACAACACACACGACACAAGACGGTGCGCAGGGGGAAGAAGACCATGGGGAAAACACCGCTATACAATCTTGCTTGCATCTTAGATGGTTGCCAAGGCCAGAAGGCGCAGTGAGGATGAGCAGCATGCCCACAGGCGGGCAATTGAGGCCAGGAAGGTGCGCTGAGAATAGAGAGAACGGATCCATCAATAGTTGTGGTGTGACGGGCTGTGGGTGCAGGTTGACAGGCAGCGGAAGAGAGAAGCTTTTCAGGAATCAATACTGGCGATGCAAGAGGTCCGTCAACCGACACGCTCCACAATCGACACAGGCCTATCTCTTCCTGTCTTCTGCCTCTGAAGGCTCGGCGGCAGTCGGCTCGTCGGCAAAGTGGACAACGCGCCAATCGATGACCCAAGATGGTGTCCAGCTCATTGAGACGTGACTGAAATGAGACTTGGATTCCCACCCGCTCCTCAGACGATTGCCCCATGAGGCCTGAATCCCCTCCATGCCATCCACGTCTCGTCCACATGGAGTGAATCTCTCACACGTCTTCGGCGACGCTCCTCTTCTGCTCCGTGCCAAACAATGACTCCCCACGGACCTTCGTCAACCTTAGCAGCCCTGCCGTCAGAGTCATCTCTGCATGAGAAACCACCACTACCACTGCTATTACGCCTCAGCGTCTCGGGAAGCGACGGCTGGCGCTCAAGTAATGAGTCCTCGTGTGTCGATGGGAGACAGCGTCCGTCTGTGGGGTGGGCGCCCGCTGCAGTCTCTGGGGCGGAGGGAATGGGTGGGCCGGGGGCTGCATCATGAAAGTGCATCCTTGAGGACGGGCAGAGCGACAGATAAGCGGCGTTACTCTGTGTGCGGCGCCAATCGATGACGTGGCAGAAGGCAAGGCAGGTTGTGTGCGATGGAGACGGCTGCCCTTGCTGTGTATGCCACTTGTAGGCACTCAACAGGCCGATGAGATTCTCGGTCGACCTCATGTATGGATCAAAGTAGCAACGACAGTCTGTCGGGGGCGGCTCCGCCCCCGCACCCCCGTTTGGGCCGCCTTCGGCGGCCGAACCGACACCACGCAACCGACATCACGCAACCGATACCTCTACAACCTCGAAGGGCCTGGTGGAGGAGGGGGAGAGGAAACAAGCAGGCCAAGGCGGCGACACTCTGTGCGTGACCCCAGAGTGGTCTTGTTTCTCATCGATCAGGTCTCTGTCGGTCTGTGGGTGGGCGGCAAGGGTCACCCTACAGTCAGAAAAGTGAAAATCGTGCCAGCGTCGGTGCTCTGCCTGTGTACGTGCTGCTGCCCCTCTCTCTTCGCACCTTTGTGGTCAGCTCAATGCTGCATTTGATGCGCGTAGTCTTGGGCGAGCAAACCAACCACTGATGGTGCGGCGTACCTGTCAAAACGGGACAAATATGGAGAAGGAGCGAGACATACAGAGAGACAGGGAGGGAGGACAGTCAGGCAGACACACCTGCAGGTAGTTTCCTGCCTGTGAGTGAATTGAGCGGAGTTTTGGGCTTCTTACCTTTACGAGGCCTGTCGGGTTTTTACGAGGGAGGCGGGATACCTTTTGTCGCAGGCTCCTCGGGGGTTCAAGGAGGAGCGGTTTCACGGTTCAAGGGTTCAAAGGGTTCGGGGGTCCCGAATAGGAGCTCGCAGTGAAGCCGTTCTCCCCAAGAAGGCTATCCGGATGAGAAGAGACGCACGGGGAAACGCACGTCACCCCGGCCCAGCCAGCTGTGGAAGAAACATGTCGTTACTCGCTCTGAGCCTATGTGGATATTTCCTCCACACTCTGGTGCTGGCACAGGACATCAACGGCAACACGGACTCGGACACAGATCTGGAGTGCACGAGCCTCTACGCCGGCCTGGGAAGGCCTGGAGAAGGCGGCGTCTGCTTCGATGATGCGGGCGAATGCAACCCCGAGTGCCGCGAGGCGTGGGACGAGTTCACATCGACCTGCCTGGGCAAGAGAGTCAGGTCTCCCACGTGCTTCCCGGCCATCAACAGCTTCACCGTCGACGCCTCGGCCTACTTCAACTTGATCTGCGGCTACAGCCCAGCTGGCAACATCAATGAGAGGGACTCCTTCATCACCTGCAACCTCGACTGGCAGGCCACGCACAAGGACGGCGTCTGCACCAGCGCCATGGCTGCTTTTGCCGGTGCGGCATGGGCACATGGGTGCGCCGAGAATGCGTCTGACCTGATCCAGCCTCGTGAGACGTCGGCTCCCACACCGGCGCCTTCCGCCGCTGCCAAGGGCTGCCCTGTTCTCTGCCGCTCGGTAACCGACCTAGTGGGGGACGAGTGCACGTCGACTGATCAGTACTGGAACCCCGTCGCGCAGAGGTGAGCCGACACGAATCACACCAACATCCAGACGGGGATGGGATTGGATTGACGCGTGTGTGTGTGTGTGTGTGTCTGTGTTGTGTGTCGTCAGGTACGTGAATTACTCATCCAAGGCGGTTCCGTCGCAGCTGAAGCTCGTGTCGGCACTGTTCAAGGTCCCCATCGCCAAGTCATGCACCACATACATCACGGACGAGCTCAAGAGGAGGGAGGATGAGAAGCAGATGGCGAGAAACGGCAACCGCACAGAGGCTGCATCGCGGAACGTATCCGCGTTGGCAAATGAGCCACAGCAGGTCGATCAACTAGAAAGCGGCGCATGGAGGCAGTCGCCCCCAACACTAAGAGCGGCATTCGCCGCCCTGCTGTGCATCGTGTTGGGGGCATTTGTGTGGGAAGGGTGGAAGGAGGGGGCGTGGGCAGGTGGGTAAGTGTAGACCTACTCATTTTGCGTCGCTGAGTTTCTTTTTTCGTCCTCCCCGATCGATTGATTGATGTGATATGTATGTCAGTGTCTGTCTGTCGCCGATCGATTGAACCGAGGGTGTGGTGTAGGTCTGTCACGCCATGTCATGTCATGTCGTGTGCTGTGCAGGTTTTCACCACCTTTTTTCCTTCATCCTCCTCTCTCGGTATGTATGTTTCCCGCATACATCATGTAGCGCTATCTTCGACAGTAACTTTCTTGCAAGCAACCTGCTGGGGGTCGGTGGGCTGGTGGATAATTCAGTGTGTGTGTGTGGTGTTGAGTCTTTCTCTGTGTGTCGATCTGTCTGTTTCGGCACAATGGTGCTGTGCGGACGGAATGACTTGATGTGCATGTGTGCATTTGCGCTGTTTGGTGAAATGCTCAACCTCAACGATGCCATGCCGCCATGCCGCCCACATCAACATTGTCTTGACGCCATATATTCTATTGTCTTCCCCCACCCAGCGTGTCCATGAGCTGTTGCAGCCATTCATCCACTCGTCACCCCATCGACATTCACGCACGGTGTCAGCTAATTAAGACGGATGACGAAAGGCAGGCGGCCCCGCCGAGGAAACCTCGGCAGGGAGTCGGGAAAACCTCCTCGTTAATGCATGGCATGGCACGGATGGATGGATGGATGCAGCACACACATGCCACACATACACACAGAGGGAGGGGATTATGAATTCGCCGCCACACCGGTGCCGTGGGGTGCACGCGACTCACGGGGCATGAGCGAGAGCCGGCCACCATGAGGCTGTGCAGGCAGGCGTGTATGACGGAAAGCCACCATATAAACTTACTCTTACGTACAAGGATGAGATGATCGACAGCTGCAGGCAGGCAGGCAGAGAGGCAGAGAGGCACGCACCTGTCGTGGCTGGCAAAAGCAGCACGCCCTCCCATCCAAATCGATGACTGCACTGCCGGGGAGCTATCTTGACACCGCACCATTCAAAGTTCCCCGAGCAGGCTGAGGCTCAGCCTGCTCGAGGAACGGGCTCAGCCTGCTCGAGGAACGAGAATGGTTTGCGGTGTGAAACGACCCACCCCACCACCAGTGTAGTGTGCCGGCAAGGAAGGGAGAAAAACGCTCTCGTTGAGGGCATGAAGACCCTCTCACCTCACCGCTGCCATATATAGAAGAAAAAAGGGGGCGGGCAGTGGGACAGCGGGGCAACACACAACCTTGGCTCATTTCACATCCACCCACATGTGGACCTTGCCCAGCCCCTCCCGTCCGTCCCTGCATATATCACTCACCCAACCCACTCCCCCAATCACTCACTCCCCCATACCACCCCACCCCACCCACTGCAGCAAAGCCCTTCCACAATCGCTGCATATACCCATGCATTGCATTACATTGCATCCCCTCCCCTCCCTCCCTCCCTCCGTCCCTCCAACGTCTGTCCCCTACTCTGCCTCGAGGGCCTTGTCCTCCTCCTGCCCCTCCCCACCACCACCACCGGCCACCGCCACTTCACCCGCATCCTCCTCGAATTTGATGGGTACAGCCAGATCGGCCGACATGGTGTAGGCCATGGCGGCCGCAGCAGCTGCAGCCGCGGCCTTGGCTGGGTCGTCGCCGTCATCGAGCTGTGGCTGGTCGACCTGTGCGCTGCTGTAGGCCCGTGCGCATATCTGCTCCCAGTTCTCGTGCTGCCGGTTGAAGATGATGCGCAGCCACCGCTGGTTGGGCTCGAAGTCCAGGTTGGGGAAGCGCTCCCGGCGGACGGCCGATGCGATCTTCTGGGCCTCGGGAAATGTCACCTTCTCGCCTGCAGACAGACAGACAGACAGACAGAGAAAGAGGGGGGTGTGCGGCTGTGTGAGAGATGGTGCTTCTTTCGTGAAGGCATACATACCACTCTGCTGCCGCTTCCAGACCTCACGACGCACCTCCTCCTCCAGCTCGGGGAAGCGACGCTTCCGCCCGCCGCCCGACAGCCGCTTCTTCTCAGTGCGGCCGAGGGCATAGGTGGACGCCAGCAGCTCCCGCTTCTCCCACCACTTCCACAGGGTGCGCGACGACATGCCGAAGTCCTTGCACACCTGCGTGGCCGGGGTGCCCTTCTCCAGCTGCTCCAGCGCCTTGAGCTTGTCACCCACTGAGATCTCGCGCCGGGGGCGGCGGGTCCCAGTGCCCCCCTTGCCACCTTTGCCGGATGCATTGGTGGCGGCCTTCTTGCTCCGCTCACTGACGGTGTCGTCGGCCGATGAAGTGCCGCCGGGGATGGCCGGGAAGGGGGCGTAGGGGAAGCCGTTGACGTTCATCGGACTGACGCCCGTGTCGATGGGGAGGGGGAAGTGGGGGAAGGGGAAATCTGTCACCTGGGGGTGCTCGGGGAGGGCAGGGGGGTTGTGCTGCTGCTCGTCATGCTGCTCCTCAGGCTGCTCCTCAGCGACCATGGGGGTCACCGACGCCTTCCTGCGGCGCTTGCTGCGCCTGGTGCCACCCGCCGCCTTGCCCGTCGCCTGCCCGTCCGCCCCCTCCTCGCCCTCCTGCTGCTGCTGGTGGTGCGATGCGTCCAAGGCCATGGGTATGGGGTGCATGCCTAAGGCTGCTGCCGCTGCGGCCGTGTCTGCGGCGCCTGGCGAGAGTTCCTCCTGCTTGAGGATGGGGTGGCGGCCGCGCTTGCCGTCGATGGCGCCGAGCTGGGCAGGGGAGCTGCCGTTGGGCTCGGTGACGGGCGTGGACTCCTGCTGGGGCAACAAAGGAAGCTCCTGCCACACACACAACAGGCAGCACACAGCCAGACAGCACCATGTATGAGAGCAGCACTGCCGATCCGTCTCTCTGCCTGCCTGCCTGCCTTCCTCCAGGCCATCCATCCATCTCACTGTTTCGACTTACATTCTTGAAGGCAGCGAGTGCATCCTGCATGTTGCGCCTCAGGTTCTCGAGCGACGCCAGCCTCTGCGAGTCCAGCTCGTTCCCCTGCTCTCCCCCAAGCGCCACGTTAAGCATGGACCGCCGTATCTCCCACATGGTGCCCTCTATCGACCACAGCTCTCGATTCATGCGACCTACCCAGGAGTCCGTCGGCGTGCCGTCCTGCGCGCCGTCCACGCCCGCGGAGGCGCTCGCAGAGGACTGCAGGAGCTTCCCGGCGTCCATGAAGAGGTTGGCGTGGCTGAGGCGCAGCCCGCCAGCCTGAAAGGGCAACACAGAACACGACAAGTGTGCATTCCTTGATGACACATCTCAGTCGTGTCTCACCTGCTCTTGGAGGCCCGCAAACGCAGCAGCACCCTCTCCATACAACGCACCCGGCCCGCTCGTGTCCATCACACGCAGCAACACAGCAAGGACACCTACCCTCTCCGACGACCACAAAACCGAGGGAGACGTTCGACAGCTGCTGCGGGAGCACCCTCAAGACGCTAAGTGTAGGCTGTTTCGACGCTATAGACTATAATCACACACACTCGCTGTTATTTCCCTCAAATTCCGTCCGGACCTTTCTTTGTTACGCGCTGGAATAGGGCAAGCGTAAAACCCGATTCAAGATGTGTTGCCGTTGATAGATGACCTTGCCGGTCACCTCGCTGAGCACCTTGGTGGCATGCCTGCGGCATCGAGCATGCTCAGAGGAAACCGCGACCTTCCTGCCAGCTCATTGAACCGCACCTGGTACCTCAGCTCCTCAGTCAGGTGAGGCGGCGGCCCCCTGTGGTAGCTCTGCTCCCCTCTGCTGCCCTTCTCCATGGAGTCGCCCGCAGTGGGTGTTCGCCTCGGGGCAGAGCTACAAGCTGAGCTCCAGGCCAGTCTGCAGACTCTGGAGAGGGACCAGGTGAACTCACGTGAATGAATGCATCGTCTTCCTTTCTCCATTGCTCTCTGCTGATCCACATGGATGTGCGGGTTTGTCACTTCACACCGTGCAGGAAAGACATGAACGCATGATGGCCCAGCTGCTGGCGAAGAGCCAGACCCTCCTCAAGAAGGCCAAGAGCAAGATGCTCGCCCCCACACCCGTGCCCGATGAAGACGATGAAGACGAACTTGAGGACGCGGAACCCACAAAGGTCCGTAGAGGGGTGTGGGTGGGTGGATGGGTGGCGGAAGGACGGCAGTGCAGTCTCTCTCGTGTGTCGGTCGGCGCATCAATGCATTTTCTTTTGTCTATGCGTTCTTTGCAGGCAGCAGTCGGCGAGGAGGAGAAAAGGCTTAGTCAAGAGGAAGACACGGAGGAGGCGAAGGAGCAGATATCGAAGCTGCTCAAGGCCCCAAAAGCCATCCAGCGCTTGGTTGAGAGCCTGGATGCGGCAGCGTCCTTCATCCCGGGACACGCAGACGAGATCAACAAACTGTCGGGCCGCATCCAGGTGCGTGCATTCATGGCCCACCCACTCGAGCTCGCCCTTTCTGTATGGCTGTCTACAGGAGGAGCTCGATTACTGCTACAAGGATTTCCAGATGGTGAAGCAGCACCATGCCCAGTGGCGAGACGACCTCGATGCAGAGGAGGAAGAGAGGAAAAGACAGGCCCTCCTTGACGTGAGGCGCCGCAGCAGATCGTATACAGAGCTCCCAGAGGCCGGAGACGTCAGCGGTGAGGGCGACAGCGAGGGTCAGAGGGCCATGGGGCCCTTTGCGGAGAAGGAGCAGAAGCAGCTCTTCATCTACTACTCGGCAGCAGACGCCCTCTTACACTTGGCAGGGTGGACACGGTAAGGACAAGACAGAGAGACAGAACAACGAGACAGACGGACAGACAGACAGACAGACAGAGAGATTGTTGGACATTCCATACATGCGACGCGTGTCTCGGCATGTACGTAGGATGGTGAAGGATGTAGGCTTGATGGATCGATATCATCTGAATCGGCAGGACCTTCAAAATATCTTCAACCAGCATGCTGAAAGACTCACTAAAGGCATGGAGTTCAGGCACTTCACCCGCAGCATCCGCTACCTCGCCGTCCATCTCGACATGCCACTGGAGACCATCTCCCAGCGCTTCAAGCACCTCAACACCAGTCTTCATGTCGGCAAAGTCCTTTCCACCTCAGCAAGAGGGCCTAGCAGCAGCATGCGGCCATCGAGCCTTCGCAAGAGTCTGGCCGCTCCATCAGCGGGGCCAAGAGGCCGGCTGCTGAAAGGGGGGAAGGGCAGAGCGGCTGCTGAGGCAGCGGCGAAACCCAAACAGCACTTTCTGGCCATTCTATCGACGGTGACGGCACAGGCGGCCGAGGAGTCGCCACTACAGCAGGATGGCAAGGTGGTCGTGGAGGCGCAATTTGACGACGAAGAGGCGCTTCCGATCATCATGAATACCACGTGGAGTGACCATAATCTGGGGGAAACATAGACGGCGACAGAGGGGCGGGGGGCGGGGGGCAGGGGATATCGCAGCCAGGGAGACAGACCTCAAGGGGAAGGCAGCATCGGCGGATTTTGTTCACGTGCGCAATGGCCTGGATTTTTGCCTCAGGAGACTCTGTGCTTGATTGGTCGATTGATGTGAGGCCTCTGCTCGTGATGGAGTGGGCATCCCCATTCATTCATGGCATGTGGATGTCATGAAAGTCATCATTGTCAAACATGAGGCGCTCGCAGGATATAGAATGTCGGCAGGCAGCGATGGGTCAATGTCGACGTTGTTGAAGGAACGAAGGGCCATTTCAGCAGGCACAAACACTGTCTGTCTGTCGCCAAAACTGGACACATTCATTCATGTCTTGTCAGTCACCTATTCCACCTATTCGCGCATTCATCAAACAAAACAGCCAGACCCACACAGCACACTGAATCAATCCATCACACGAACGGGACGCGGACCATGCAGATTATAAGGTCCGTCAGGCATTCCTGACACCGAATCCCCTGTCCCTGAGGTGCCGTTTGACCTCCCCTATGCCCACCTCCCCCCTGTGAAAGATACCCGCTGCCAACGCCGCCTCGGCACCAGTCGCCTCAAACACCTCAGCGAAGTGCTCCGCCCTCCCTGCGCCCGACGACGCGATGACCGGGATCGACACGGCCTCGCGCACCATCGCTATGAGCTCGAGGTCGAAACCAGAGTTGGTGCCGTCCTTGTCGATGCAGTTGAGCAGGATCTCGCCGGCACCCATCGCCTCGCACGCCCGCACCAGCTCATAGACGCCGAGGTCTCGTCCCTCCCGGCCGCCCTTGACGGTGCACTGGTACCACACGTGTCTGTCGCCAGCTGGGCCGGGGAACTTGGTCTCGATGGTCTTGTGTGTGGTGCTGCCTGGAGACGAGACGTAGACGCGTCGGGGGTCGACGGATATGACGACCGCCTGGCTGCCGTACACCTCGGCTATCTGCGCAATGGATGACGGCTGGCTGGCCTTGGATGGTGGTGGCTTGCCCTGGTGGTGCTGGTGCTGGATGTACTCCTCAGCGGCGTATACGGCGTCGCTGCCGATTGACACCTTGTCGGCACCTGACCGGAAGTACTCGCCGGCCACCTCAAGGGCCGAGTGATAGGTGCCGTCTGGGTCCGTGAAGTCACGGATGCCGCCACCTATCGTCAGCGGCACAAACACCTGAAGCAAGCAAGACATTAGACGCAAAACACGCCGTGTGGTGCGACGCGATGTCATGTCGTCTTGGATTCTTCTGGATGCTGACCGACCTCTTTGGATGTCCTCTTGAGCACTTGCAGCATGGGCAGGTCGGCGAGTGGCGAGTTGCGGAATGAGGTGATGTTGAGGAAGGTCACCTCGTCGGCGCCCTCCTCATAGTAACGCTGAGCCAATGCCACCGGCTTGCCTGCAGTGCACTCGTACACATTCATTGGACGGACACAAACAGATACAGAATGGTCATTGATATCAATGGTTCTGTTTCGCTCATTCATTGCGTATCACACTCACTCACTCACTCACCGAGATTTCTGACGCTGCCCTCCTCCCTGACGTCATACTGGTCGCCCTTGGTGACCACCAGATCACCCTCGTCATTGGTCCGCACATCCAAACATGCGATGATACGCTTCGCCAACTCGCCACCACACCCAGCCCCCGCACCATTGTTCATCGCGTGGCCACCACTAGATGTCACCGGGCAGTCGACGAGAGTCGTCAGGCTGTCTATCTTGGCCGGTGCCGTGCCCTCGACGAATGCCCTGAAGATCTCCAGCCCCAGCGAGCCCGACTTCTCTGGATGGAACTGTGTGGCGATGACCGCTCCCCGCTGCACCGCACTGACGAAGGGCACCCCTCCATATGTGGACGAGGCCAGCAGCCAGGGCTCGGTGGCCTCGTTGACGTCCAGGTGGAATGAGTGGACGAAGTAGTAGCGGGGGTCCTTCACCGAGGCCGAAGAGGGAGGGGGTGCGGGTATGAGGCCGCCCTGCCGGTGGAATGTGAGAGTGTTCCAGCCTATTTGGGGAACCGATGCGTTTGTCTTGAACTTCCTCACAGTGGTCTTGATGATGCCGAGACCCTCCACACCTGCAGCCAGCCGGCACAGATGACACACAGATCTGATCTCTTTCTCTCTCGCAGCCAGTGCAGCTAGTGCCATGAGCCGTCCGTGCACATAGGTACCTACCGGGTGACTCTTCGCTGCCCTCACAGAGGCACTGCAGGCCGATGCAGATGCCCAGGAAGGGCCTGCCGCTGTCGATGTACTGCTTCAGCGGCGCCGCATAGCCCTTCTTTTGCAGCACCTCCATCGCCTTGCCGAAGGCTCCCACGCCAGGGAAGATGAGCTGCGTGGCCTCCAGGATGTCATCAGGCTTCTCGACGATGCGGTACTCAAAACCGAACTTGCCGAGAGCATTGAACACGCTGCGCACGTTGCCGGCGCCGTAATCGAGGACGTACAAGCCCATTGCAGGCAGGCCTTTTGAACGGACGCAGCGCTCCTTCCCGGACTCCGGTGGCAGCGGTTTCACGGAGCACCCTCCCTCCTCGAGCTTAGCTCGCGGCATCCCTCTCTCCTCTCCTTTTCATGCGCGTGCGGTCCGCGTGGCTCCAAGGAACCAGCGTGTCGAGCTTGGGCCTAGATCTGTAGAAACACAGCTTTGACAACCATGGTGTTGGTGACGGAGATCAAGCAGGGCACCGTGACGGCCTTATGGGTCCTCGCCACAGTGGTGCTGTCCATGGGGCAAGTCATCTTCCTTAAGGCGTCGGCGCGTGTGTTCGGGACGCAGACCAACTTCTTGGTGCTGGTGCTGTCGTTCATCAGTCTGCCCTTCTATGGGATCTTTCTCCTCACCGGCCGTCTGTTCCACCAGGGCTTCCTCCCTGAGGTCCGCAGCAGGACGTTGCAGCGGAGCTTCGTCGTCATCGGATTCTGCAATGCTACCAGCAGAGTGGTCAGGCAGGCAGAACAGACAACCACCACCCGGCCCACACACACGCGTGATGGCATCGATCCATGGAGATGTGTGTGTTTGCCGTTATGTATGTTGTGCATGTGATGTGTCTGTCCTGCATTCAGATAGAGTTTTTTGCGTTCAATGCGACGCCGCTGACGCTGCAGGCGTCCCTCTCGCACACCATCATCCCGTTCGTGGTGGCATTCACCATCTCGGCTGACCTGTCGGTGGGCCGTGTCTTTTCCAAGAAGGCCCTCGGCGGCACCGCCATGATCATCGTGGTACGTACGTGGGCAGACAGACAGACGCCCACTTGTACTTGTGCCGTGAGACGCAATCAATGTCCTTGTGTGTGTGTGGTGTTGCGGTGCGGTTGCAGGGTTCCCTGTTTCACATGTCGGCGTATTTCCTGTACTCCAGTGACGCGACCGTGACCCAGATCTGGTGGTACACGACCTTCCTGCTGGCACAGATCCCACTCGCCCTCTCCGCCATCATTCAGGTAGGTCAGCCATGGCATGCAATGCAGTCAGTGCACACAGCTGGCCACTCACTCCACACACACAGACAGACACACGAATGCACTGACTGCACTGGGCAGAGCTCTGGTGTGGTGTCTGTTACACTCACTGCGCGTCGTGTGACGTGACTGACGTGCGTATGTGTTGGTATTGTGTGGTGTGTGTATTGCATTCATTGCGAACATTCAGCAACAGTGTTACATCATCCGGCGTCTGAATGTGTTCTACATGCTGTTCTACTGCACCATGTACCAGTGCCTCTGGTCACTACTCTTCGTTCCTCTAAACTGCATCAGAGGTAGGTACACAACACACACAACACACGGGGGCAGGCAGAGGACCGACCGCTACAACAAACACACACAGCACATGAGTAGATAGATGGGCCGATCATATCCATGATATGATTGACGCCGTGCTGTGTGTGTCTTCAGGTGTCAACAACATCGCCCCGAGTCAACTCTGGAGGGCACTCGTGGAATTCGTCATATGTACGTCAGCCAGATACACGTCACCATTTGTTTGTACTCACTGCAGTGCGTGTGTGCGCGTGTGTGTGTGTGTTCAGGCGGGTTGAATCTGCAGCCGCTGGGGAGCTTCCGCGAGCCGGCAGCCACAGGCATCACCACCGACGCCAATTACTGCTCAACAGCAGGTAGATAGAGTGAGGACCTCACATACACCCACAACACGAAGCACGACCTTCCTTCGGCTCACTGTGTGCTCACCGCACCCACCCCACGTGCCGTGCCAGCGTTGTATTTGGGTTTGCTGGCGGTGTTCACCATTGGGGCACAGATGGCACAGATCTGTATGGTCAGACAGGTGGGTAAGGTACATCCATCACGCCACACTGCATGGGGGATGGGATCAGACCACTCACTTGCGGTGGGATGGGTGGGTGTCCATCCGTTTATTTCTCTGCCTGTGTGTGTGCGTGTCTGTGGTGCAGAGCACGTATCCGGTGGCCATGGTGGGTGTGTTGAGTATCCCCACCGCCGTGTTCACCCTCTTTGCACTCAAACCATTCCAAGCCATGTTCGGGACCTACTTTGCGGGTCGGCTCACCCACACTGCACAGGACAGTACACGCACGACGAAGTGATCCCTGTGTTGAGTGATGGCCATGCACACCTATGTGTGTATGTGTGTGTGTGTGTGTGCAGTGCTGCTTGAGGGCAACCCTGGCGAGCTGCCGCAGTGGGTGCAGGGCTTGTGCTACACCATCGGTGAGCAAACACCAAACGCATCGCATGACTGATAGATACTGGCGAGCGAGGTGTGGGTTGTGTTGGGTGGGGATCGGATCATGCCATGCCCGTGTTCCGTTGTTTGTGCATTGCGCCTGTGGATCCATCAGTGTTGGTTGGTGCTGGCTTCTACCGGCTCGACCCGGCCAACGGCCTCGCTGCTGAATACGGTGAGAGAGAAATGCAACACACCGATCAAGCTGTGGCTGGATGGAAGGATCGTGGCGGCGCTTCTGTCTGTCTGTCTTTAGTGTTTCCCCCCGACTCGTACTTCGAAGAGCATGGGTGCGCGAATCCTCACGTTACACACACACACACACACACACAGACAGAATGGTCCGCACAGGATGGCCATCGGCATCCCTCCCTCTCTGGTTTATCTGTCTGGTGTGTGTGTGTCTGCCCTCTGTCTGTCAGCACGCTAGCGTCTTACTATGCCCCGCTGGTGCCGTCCCATCCCCCCAAGCCCATGAGTGCCCCCATGGGCCTGGCCGTCAACAACGGCGCGCCAGCGTACCCCGACCCAGCGGCAGTTAGACCAAGCCACTCGTCGGACATCGCTCACCTCGTCAGGGACAGGACAGCCACTGTGCGGGTGAGGGAGGCACCGCACCTCACCTGGGCTGGACGGGCATGCGAAAGAATCGGGTGCATGGCATGGCATGGCATGGCGTGTGGTTTGTTTGTTTGTTTCCGTCAATTATTGCAATGGACAGAGTTTCCCCGACGATGCTCGTTCGATGTTTTACTTCGCGTCGCCCCTGCCGCGGCACAAGCCGCTGCCGGCGGTGGTGCGGCCCGTCATGATGAACGTCTGGTGAGTGAGGAAATTGGACGAGAGACAGGGGCATGGCATGAGCACACGCAATCCAATCCATGGATGTGTGGGGGGGGGATTATGGTTCGCGTGGATGGGATGCAGGTGTGGCATGTTGGTGTGCGAGTACACCGACTACAAGCGCAACTATGACGCCGGCAGCATATCAGAGGACGGCGTCTCGACGCCGCTCAGGGCGTCACTGTCGGCCAACAGACCTGACCCCTTCGGGTGAGTGAGCAGCCAGCCAATGACGGTCGCGATCAATCACTCACAACCCACGTGTGTATCTGTCTGTCTGTGTGTGTGTGTGTGGATGTGATGGTTTCATTCAGAGAGCATCCTGGTCGGTGTCCGCCGTGGAAGCAGTACACCTACGCCCACATGGACGCACTCGGCGACACCGAACGGGCGATACGCAAACTGGTAGGCATGCCAAGAAGTCCCAGCCAGCCGTGGTGGTCCCACTGCAGCGGGACTGATGTGATGCGTGTCCCTGTGCTGTGCTGTGCTGTGGTGTGGTGTGGTGTGGGTGTGTTTGTGTTGTGGTGCTTCGCATCCAGTATGCGTATCATCGCATGGGCTCCCTCGCCGCTGTGGTCGCCCTCCTCTCTGAGCTCACCCCACTCACACCATCCTCCGAACTCAGCTCTGCCGCCAGGTACCTAGGGTACAGTCAGGACACACATACATACCAACCAACACACAACACAAAACCACACGTACGTCACGTCTGGCCTTTACGCCCAGCCAGCCCATCAATCCACCCACCCGTTCGTTCATCCCATCCAATCCACCGATGTGATGTATGCGATCCGATCCCTACGTGCAGGTCGACCCCCCGGGATTCACTGGAGCACAACTCCTTTGCCGAGCCGCCGCCACCCTACCACGTGTCCGAGGCCACCACCCCCGGCGGCCATCGATACCCGGCCGCATCCCTGACGTGGCACATCGCCAGGCCGGTCATCACAAACCCATTCCCACAAACAGCACCGCCGGCGGCAAACAGCGACGAGCCCGACAGGCGGCGGCGGCCGGCTGGTGGTGGTGGGACACTGAGCGGGAGTGGGCAGGAGTATGACGGCAGGGGTGTGGGTGTGGGTGGTGGTGGTGGTTTGTACCCGCATCTGTCGTCCAATGGGGCTGAGGAGCACGTGCAGGGGAGGGAATGGACATGAGGCCTTGAGGGAGGGACCGATGGGGGAATGAATGACAGACACTGCAGACAGACAGACAGACAGACAATGGAGGGCAAACAAAGCGGAAGGGGGACACATGCTGTCTGTGTGTGTGTGTCTGTATGTATTTGTGTGTCAGTCAGTCAGTGTGTTTGTTTGTGCGGTGGTCGGTCGGTCGGCACTAGGTTGTTCGTATGGCTCATTGTGTCACGCCGGGTGGGTGGGATGGGATGGTTGTGTTCCAGATTGAGCGATAGCGCTGTACGGTACGGTATCTGGTAGGCAAGAGCGTCTGTGTACCGTCGTCGCGTGTGTGCTGGTCGCCGTCGAGAGAGACTTGATATGGATGGACGGCATGCGGTGCCGTGGGGTGCTATCGTGGCGGTGGCTTCTCGTTAGTCTCTGCGTCCGCTCCATCAGTCCGATGCGGTCAGATGCGTGTGCACACGCATCCCTCCGTTTGGGTCGGATGGGGTCGATGGTGAGATGAACGACATCACCACGTGGTCAGGTGTCGCTGGCGTGTGTGGACCGGACCGCATACATACCTACTACTTTATTATGTGAATGTTTTCTCGTCAGTCACGTACACATAAATGTCCTCACACCAACCAATGCCACATCTTACTAAAGCTTGACACACACTCAGACTAGATAGAGGTATCGACAGGCACACGCACCACATGGCATGCACTGGACTTCATTCACTTCTTGACGGTCCATGGGGGCGGAGGCACTGACACAACACAACACAACATAGCACACCATGCGGGGCCGATCCTGGACGCGTCGGCTTCCTGTGTACCTACCTTGTCCAGGCTCATTGTCGTGCCTCTCGATCTCCTTCGCCAATGAGCCAGCACTCCTGGCCCGCCAGAACACACAGACAAAGCACCCCAGCATCCATCAGAGTCACCCATGCCATCGTCGAGCAGGATACTACGGTCTGACCACCTCTGTTACCTTTTCGGCGTGCGGTTGCATTCTGTGTCGTCTTCGGGTGCGAACTCGAAGTCGAGGTCACCTATCATGACCAAGTCACCCGCCTCGGCACCAGCAGCGTGCAGCGCCTGCACAAACACACAACATCCATCCATCCAGCCCGCGCACGTGCAGTGTGTGTCTGACCTTGGTGATGCCGGTGGCATCGAGTATTCGTTTGAATCTGAGTGTGGACTCGTAGTAGTCCCAGTTGGTCATGTCCACCACACGCTCGATGGTCCGACCCACCACACGATACTGACCTATTTTAGCGACCAATCAAATCAACCATTCGTTTCGTTCGTGTACGGCTGGGCTGAATGCACGCCACTCCACGCACGAGATGGTGCATGGGATGCACACCACACATCACATACATACATACCAGGGAAGTTGACGGGGTCGGCCTCAATGACGAACTCCCCGTCGAGCACCGACCCCTGGTCAAGACGCTCGAAGTCCACACGGTCCTCTCCACCAGCACCACCACCGTCGGCCACCCAACCAAAGTCGACATCTGACGCCACACAACACAACGCACACCGAGACAGTGGGGACCGGCCGTCTTGCGCTGTGTGTTGCCATGCCACGGCTAGCCACCTTTTTCGGTCTCGGCGATGTGGTTTGCGAGTTTTCTGAGCCGCATCATTAGCTCAGGCACACGCTCGCGAGTCAGTGCTGATATGGCGAGGAATCGCGTGTGGTTGAGGGTGGCCTGAATCTCCTCCTGCAGTGCCGGAAGCCGCTCCCGCACATGAGGCAGGTCGATCTTGTTCAGCACCACCACCTACACACACACACACACACACACATACACACACATACGCACAAAACGTCAATCAACACGATCTATCGATGGCTGCCATGCGGATCTATCTACCTGTGGTTTCTTCGCGAGTTGTGGGTTGAAGAACAGCAGCTCCTGATTGATGGCATGGAAATCGCCCACGGGGTCCTGCAAGGCGCACAGAGACACGATCCCGCGCCTCGCCACTTGTGCCATTGGCTGTGCTGTGGTGCCCTCATTCCCTCCCTCACCGGGCTGTCTCCATTGATGATGTGCAGGATGATTTTGCACCGCTCGACGTGACGGAGGAAGGCCATCCCGAGGCCCACTCCCCGATGCGCCCCCTCCAGCAGCCCTGGGATGTCGGCCAGCACCATGCCCCTCCCATCACCGGCAGAGAGCACCTCAGGCATGTCGCACACACCCAGGTTGGGCACCACTGTGGTGAAGGGGTAGTCGGCTATCTTTGGTTTGGCGTTGCTGACCACCGACAGCAGTGTGCTCTTGCCGGCGTTGGGGCACCCCACCAGCCCCACGTCGGCCACGATCTTGAGCTCCAGGTTGATCCAGCGGCAGGTGCCCCTCTCGCCCTTCTCGGCCAGCTTCGGGGCGTTGTTGGCCTGCGTCTTGAAGGAGGCGTTGCCGCGACCCCCACGCCCGCCTCGGGCAACCTGATAGATCAGATCAGATCAAGGAGCGGTGAGGCATTCATTGATCTTGTGTCTTTATGTCTGTGCATCTTACCGTACCTACCGTGAGTCGGTCTCCCTGTCTGCGCAGTTCGCCTGCCAGCCGCCCCTCCTCGTCCCGGACCACAGTGCCCGGCGGCACAATCACCACCAAATCAGACCCTGACTCCTGAAGGGCAGGGCACGCCACGGCACCCACACACGCACCACCAGACACGGCACATATGACATGTCGGCGGCGTGACGCGGTTCAGGTCAGTGTGGCTCCCCTCCCTCACCCCCATTTTGTTTTTGCTGCCGCCGTGTCCTCCGCTCTGGGCCTTCCAGTGCACCTGGCGCCTGAAGCGGTAGAGCGTATTGATGTTGGGGTCGGCCTCCAGCACCACCGACCCGCCCCTCCCACCAGTCCCGCCATCAGGGCCGCCCAGGGGAACATACTTCTCGCGTCTGAAGGAGCAGCAGCCGTTGCCGCCGTCGCCCGCCTTGACGTTGATCTTGGCCGTGTCGAAGAACTGCCACTCGGGGTCGTTCTTCAAGCCCCTCCGGCTGTCTGGGTGGGACTGCAGGGTGCCCTCCTCATCTCTGTCCTGCTGGTTGAAGTTCCACGTTTTGTGCTCTAGCAGCTGCGCTCGCTTCTTGGTGGCGGGCACGGTGGACTGACGAGCCGGCCGCGGAGGGTCTTCTGGGGGCGTCAGGGGGATGGTGGTGCGTGGCACGTCGCCGAAGCCTGATACAAAGAGTCGGAATGCCATGTATGTTAGGGAGAGTCACCACGTGTGAGTGTGAGTGTGAGAGTGCTTGTCAGTCACCTTCGGATGGCTCTGTGCCTTCGAACTCATAAAGTCCATCGATGACGCGGCTGTGGGGCACCGGCGCCTTGTTCTCAGCGGCGTTGTTGAGGCCGAGAGCCTCCTCAAACCCCGCAGCCTCCCTGCTCTTGCGCTTCCTCCGCGTGTTGAAAACACGCACATGCCGACGAGCATGCTTGAGATGGGTAAGCTTTGTCCATGAGTGCAGCGGCACTCCTGCTCTCGCAGCGACGAAAGATGCAGTGAGATCCACACCCGACTTCCTCCTCGGCGGCGGATAGGACGAAAGATCCTCACACACCGCTGAACGGCCGAACGTGAAAAGCGCTGCCACCAGCTGACTCAGCATCTCGGACCACCTCCTCAGCTTAGCTCGCAGGTGGGCGATCGTTGGCTCTTCAAAATCTGAGCCTTGGCGGCCTCTGCGCATCGCCAGGCACTGCCCAGTGCAGGCGGCAGTTAGCCACACCGCCAAGCTGACTGGCGCACGACCACGTGGCAGCTCCTCACATTCGAAGACCACCGTTGCAGCCGGCCCACTCGTGAGTGAGGAGGCGGGTGTGCGCCCTCCTCGAGGCCCTCCCTCTCATCTCATCCAACGCCCACCCACGATGTACGAGAAGATCATCGGTAAGGATGGTGGGGTGGCCATCCAGATGGCCGAAGCGCTCATATGATTGAGATCTGTCTGTCTGCCTCACTCGATGACCCAGGCAAGAAGACCAACCAGGTGCGTGACCAGCTGGAGGCCGTCGCCAAGCCCATCGACTCACACGACCCCAACTATGACAGCGAAGGAGAGGTAGGTACACATGAAATGAATGCACAATCGTACGTCATCCACCGCGGAGACAGGCGAGGCGCGTGGGGTGGGCAGACACACAACACACGGTGTGTGTTGGTAAGCACTCAATGTGTGTGTGTATGTGTGTGTGTTGTCTGCATTGATTGCACCAATATGTCAGGACGACTATGTGTTGGTTGAGATGGACCTGTCGCGCACCTTCCAGGACAAGGGGCGGCACTCGTCCAGCTACCACGGGGAGAAATCCGCACACGACAAACCGGTCGGTGGGGGAGCTTAGCCACCAACCAACCAACCAACAAGACAGCCACAGCCAGCACTCACTTGACCATGCATGCCATCATATGCCCTTTCATCCATCCATCCATTGCCTGTGCTGCAGGTGATCAACTACGAGGAGTTTTCGAGCCGCTGGCCGTTGATATTGGATGAGTACCTGACCAACGAGGACAGCGCCGAGGCGACTGAGGCCCTGAAGGCACTCAACTGCCCGTCTTTTTACGACGACCTCGTCGCCAGGGTCGTCCTGCGGGCCTGCGACAGGGACACCAAGGCACAGCAACTCACATGTACGGTCAGCCCACCGCACCGCAGCCACTCATCTCGTCTACACAAACGCACTGACTGCACTGCACTGAAGTGGTGATACGTCAGACTTGCTGACAGAATGTGTGTGTGAATGTGTGATGTGATTGTATTGTGCCATCAGCTGCGTTGTTGACGGTCATGTACGACAGCCACGTGTTGACGAAGCAGCACCTCACCAGGGGGTTCGAGAAACTCATCCAGAGGGCCGACGATATCGTACTGGTACACTCACACACGAGGCAGGCCCACCTACCAAGCCAAGGGTGCATTGCGTGTGGTTGTCTTAAATGTCACACATGCGTTTGTTTGTTTCACGTGTGTCAGGACGACCCCGGTTTCCGCGAGCAGTTGGTGTCGTTCATCGACTGCGCCATAGCTGACGGGTGCCTGGACGCCTCGTTCGCCCACCGGTACCCGCAGCAGTTCCTGAGAGCCCTGATGGAGACAGAGGACAACCAGAGGGAATACCCACAACTCAAGGAACAACTCGACCAGTACGTGAACTGAACCAACACGGAGACGCACCCCACGCCACACACGATCCATCTCACACACTCACTGTATGTGTGTGTGTGCAGGTTGGTGGCGTACAGGGGCAAGATGGCTGAGTGTGTGGACGAGTTCCTTGAGGGAGGCGGCGAAGATGAAGTCAAACGAGTCAGTGAGCCGCACAACAAACCCACCCTTCACAGGCATCAATTCAATGGATCGCCTGTATGTACATCATGTTTGGGTGCATTGCAATGCATTGCAGACGCTGTCCGAGTCGTCCGCTTCGTCGCCGGTGTCGTTCCAGCACGAGTTCGTCAAGAAACTCATCACCGCCTCATGCGACAGAAGCGACCGGTGAGTAAGGTGCATGTCAGTCATGACATGGATCACACACATCACATCCTATAAAGTAAATGGCCCAGCCCTCTCCCCGTTGGCTGGGGATGGATGTATGAATGTGTGTTGTGTGCTGTGCAGCCACCGCGAGATAGTGTCAAGTTTGCTGTCGTCGATCTACGGCAAGGAGGTCAAGGGTGACGACATCCAGCTGGCCTTCTCGCGGCTGATGGCTGCCATGGACGACTGGACACTCGACTGCCCCAGAGCCCCCGAATACCTACTTAACTTCATGGTCAGCCCAGCCTGGGTGAAGCCAGGGGAGCCAGTGGAGTGGATGGCATGGCAAACACAACGGCCAGCTGGCTTTTTGTTTGTGCTGTTGGTTGGTTTGGTTTGCTGTGTGCAGTTGAGGGCGGTGGTTGACGAGATCCTGCCGCCCATATTCCTGCAGGTCGGTCCGGCCAGATGGAGGGAGGGGAGGGGAGGGAGGGGGACGACACGAGACGGGAGAGGCTCATGTCCATCCAGTCCATTCAAATGTGATTGATGTTGCGATGCAATGCAATGTGTCACATTGTGGATGGACAGAATGCGTTGCGTCTGCGTGTGGGTGGCACGTCGGGTATGGATGTGGCGCGCAAGGCCATGGCGTTGCTGTCCGAGGGAGAGAAGTGCCTCACCGCACGATTCAGAAAGGTAGACAGACAGACAGACAACTGAACTGGGTGGGCCCATCCCCTCCCTTGTGTTGTCCGTCCCTTGTGTGCAGATCTGGACAGGTGTTGACCCCACGTCTGACGAGGCCATGCGATTCAAGGAAGAGGTGAGGGCAAGGCAACCACATCATACACACACACACATGGGTACAGTACACCTGTTTCTGTGTCGCGTGGTGTGGTCAGTTGCACACGACGATCCTGGAGTATTTCGATTCGCTCGAGAAGGATGAGGCCCTCCGGTGCGTCAAGGAGATGGACCTGGCGCCCCCACAGGCTGCCGAACTCGTCCGCAAAACCATCTCACTCGCCATGGAACGCAGCGGCAGAGAGTGCGAAGGCAAGTGTATGTAGTGCCCCTCCATCCCATGGATCATGCAAGCCAAGCCACGGGGTGGGGTTGGGTTATGTTGTCTGGCGTGTGTCCTCTCCTGTTGTGATTGATGCACACAGCTGCGCTGGGTTTGATATCTCATTTGAAGGACGCCAAGGAGCTGCATGCCGACGACATCATTCGGGGATTCAACGACACCGCCGACCGACTGCATGAGGTACCTACCGTACACATACACAGAGACATACAGGGGTCGGGTCGGGTCGGGTCGGGTGTGACCTTCCTTACCTCTCTCTCTCTGTCTGTGTGTGCGTGCACTGCACTGGTGGTTCGTTCGTCAGTTGAAGCTCGACGTGCCGGATGCGCCAGACATGCTCAAGTCATTCGTCGTCCAGGTCACAAGCAAGAGACAGACGAGACACTGTCATGATGCGACTATGCCAATCCAATGTGTGTGTGTGTGTTCTGGGCACATACCATCCATCCAGGGCATCGAGCAGGAGATTCTGCCGCGCCGTTTCGAGCTCAAACAGCTCAAGGACGCTAACTAACTTATGGATGCACTCACTAGTGACTGACCCGACCCGACCGCCGGCCACACGAGCTGATGTATGTGTTATCTGTGGGCTGGGCTGGGCTGGGATTGTATGGGTGGGGTTTAGGGGATGGGAAGAAATGGGTTTGTTTGGGGGTGTTGAAGCAGACAGACAAATCGGTGCTGTGGTGTGGTGTGGTGTGTTGTACCATCCAGCGCCCGTGACGACCCAGTGGCTTCTTTTGCGTGCTTGGCTCTTTGCCGATTCGTCTGGGTGACTTGAGTTTTGTCGCATGCCATTCTTGGCGATGCTATGAAACTCAAATGCTCGCGCGAATCTGGAGAGAGCGAGGCATTCCGAGGACAGGCCGAGATGTTTGCTGTCTGTCTGTGTAATCTTAATCTCTACCTACACTGACTGCCTGAGCTGCCCTGCATTGAATGCATTGGCCTGCCTGCCTGTCTGCCTGCCTGCGTGCGTCTGCCTACCTGCTGGATATATTTGTGACGTTTGTCCTGTCCGCGGGTGGGAGGGCGTGCCGAATGACCTCGAGAGTCGTGACATGTGGCACTCGCCGATGGACTGGACGAGTGCGTGAGGTCCTGCCGGCAGGACAAGAGAGCTCGTGTGGCTGGCTCATGCAAACCCCTTACTGATGTACTCTTGAGCATCGATCGCCAAACATGTGTGTCTGTCTAACCATGAACAAAACTGCCGGTTCCATCCATCCATCCATCCAATGGGTCAACCGAACAGCGGTGCCTTTCCCTTCTTCTCTTCAAGCCACTCCAGGCAACGATATCACACGCTCCCTGACTCGATGCGCGAGCGACGTCGTCACGGGAGTGGTCAGAAGGGAAGAAAAGACAGCCACATCACATGCACAACACGCTTCCAATATTTCCTTGACAAATAGGCAGGCCATAAGTCGATCGACGCGATCTATTACCCACTCAACTCACTCACTCATCGCCCTGTTTATCGTCCTCCCCCGCCCCTCGCTCCACCCCGTCGACACTCCGCTTCCCGCTACTCGGCCCACTACTTTCATCGGTGCTCACCACACTGCCCCGCTGCCCCTCGGCTCCCTCTACTGCATCGGCACTCATCGACGGTAATGTCGATAATGATGATGCTTGCGGCCGCTCTTGTCTGCCATCAGGGGTGATGGCGGGGTGGCTGTGCCGACCTGGGGCAGCAGGAGACGGTGGTGCATCAGACGACAAGACGGCCGGCGGGGGCGCCGGAACGCGTCTCGTGGGCGACAGCCGGTCGGGCTGTTGCTGTTGTTGTGAGAGGGCGTTGGTGGGCGATGGCGGGTACCTTGGGAGAGAGGCCTCAGCTGCCTTGGCGGCTTGTGTGGCTCGCTGCAGCTGCGATGCGGCCAGGTCTGGCAGGGCAAGGGACGGCGGCGTGAGTGCGAGAGCTGACGAGTTCAGATAAGGCGGAGAGGTACTCAGCTGTTTGTCCTGCTGATGCAGTGGTGCTGTTGCGGGTGGAGCGGGCCGGGGGGTACCTGAGCCTTTGCGATTGCTGGACGGCGGGGACGACCCCTTGCGAGGAGAGGCGTCGCTCGTGCTGCCTCGTCTTCTGGTGGGGCTGCTTGACGATGGCCCACCGCCCCTGGCCATGAGTGAGAAATCCCGATCCCGCAATGGCTCGTCAGGCATCAGCATTGGAAAGAACGGGGAGGTGCCCGACCCACTGCCAGGGCTGTCGCCGCGTGATGACCCGCCCCTGCCCTCCCTGTCAGTGGGGCTGCTCCTGCCCCTCATGTTGGGGCTGCTACCGTCGCCGCCCAGGCCGCCCACCGATCGCCGCGAGAGCGACAGCTTGGGCACCTCGTTCATCTCGCGGATCAGCTCGGGCGCTTCCTCGCTCTCAGGCTCCCCCGCACCGAAGGGGGGGGATGACGAGCCGTCGACAGATGGCCGCGGTGTCCTGTCCAGCGGCCTGTCGCTGCCGTCCCGCAGGCTGTCGAGGCCGAGGGGCATCGGCCCATCGCCCTCGCCCCCCTGGCCCAGTGGGGGCGATGTACACCTGGCCGATCGTGTCATGGACAACTCGGGTGCATCGCCGTTGCCAATCGACAACCTCTCTGACGGACGGGGCACAAAATCCAAGTCGTCCAGACTGGTGCTGGACTGTGCTGGCTCGGAAGGGGAATGGGCGTGTGACGCGGCCGCCTTGCTGTCGTCCTCTGTCGGGCTGTCATCAACGGATGGCGGCAGCTTGACGTCGCTGGCGACCCGCCCTGGCCCCGCCACTCCATCCAGCGGCAGAGTGGGCGAGGGGCCGGGCGGCTTGGGCGGTGGAGTCAGGCCAGGGCTGTTGCCCTCCGTCGACGAGCACGATGCTGACCCCGCTGTGGATGGGGAGCCGTCCTTGTCCTCCATGCGATTCGATAGTGGGTGGGCCTCCAGGAAGTCCACGAGTGGCGGTGAGGGAGGGGGTGGTGGCGGCGAGCCGGGAGCTCCGTCAGGTTGCGGAGGGGGTCCTTGCGATGGTCCGGCGGGCACAGCAGCATTCTGGAGGGCCGTGGGTCCTCCTGTGGCGCCGGGGCCGCCGAATCCTCCGTGGTCTTCGTCTCCTTCCCAGTCTGCGTTGCCGGCGTCCGAGTCCTCGCTCTCGCCTGTGCCAGGGGCCCCCCGATCAGACACTGCGATTGCATTATAGACGGCAGGGAGAGTGATCCATGTGTTGGTGGCTGTGCTGTGCTGTGCTGTGCTGTGTCCGTCTTGTAGGTACCTGATGGGAGTGGGCTGATTTGCCGTGGAGTGAGGTCTTCGATGTCGAAGCCGTCAGCCGCCTCCAACTCCCTCTCCTTGACGAACGGCACGCCAGAAAACACCCGCTTGACCTCACGGTCGCCGTCCACACCAGCCATGCTCAAGGCAGCACACACCATCTGACCCCGACACACACAGAGAAAGAAAGGAGTCATAATTGTGTTCAATCCATCCTTCCTCCCTGCAAGGCTCACTATACTGACCAGTGCGTTTCTGCCGAGTCTGCCGGTTTCCCTGACATGCAGTGCCATGGTTGTCGCCCACACGCCCCGCACGTTGGGCACGGGGTCGCCCGAGAGGCGCGCCAGGGGCCGCAGGAAGTAGAGCTGGAAGATGCCACGGGGCGCCTCGCGGATGATCAGGTCGCACATGTGGATGAACGTCTGACGCTGGTGGAACGTCGTGCTCCTGAACAAACAAATGGCAGGCAGGCAGGCAAACCATCATGTGCAGTGAGTGCAATCAATGGGATCGAGACATTCATTCTCTTGTTGACTATCTGACCTTGCGAATGTCTTGAGGAGTATCCAAATGACCGCCACCTCGGGCCCTGTGGTCAGCGGCGGAGGGCACGACCCCACAAACCCGCTGCCACGCCTCTCCTCGCCCCTTGCCACGACATCACCGTCGCCCCTGCTTCTCCTGTCCCTATCCGCCTCACGCGGGGGCGCTGGCGGCCGTCTGTCATCACGCTTGGGCCTTTCGTCGATCCGTCTCGGCACAGGCGGCCGAGGGGGCGGCTCCCTCGGCGGTGGACGGTGCCGGGAAGGTGGGGGCGGCCGCGATGGCTTGCTCGGCCTGGCCACCGCCTGCTGCTCGGATGATGCTCCTGTCGCTGTGGACGAGGGCCCACTGCGGGTGTCTGATGGTTCTGAGGGTGGGGCGGGTGGGGGTCTGGCGTTCATGAGCAGCTCTGACAGTGGCACTTGTCCGCGAGTGGAAAAATACTGCCACAGGTCGGGGCAGGCATGTTTGAGGACGAGCGGGATGCAGGCAACAGCGGCTTTGCGGACGGCGGCGACCGAGTCCTGACACAACCTGGATGGGAGGGAGGCGACACACACACACAGCACCATAAGCACCAGGATATGATGATAGATGCGATGCGATGCGATGCGATGTGTGTCTCTTTTGAATTACTTACTTGATGACGAGCGGCAGTATTTCGTGTCGAACGATGGTCGTGTCAGCCACCAGCTCACACATGCCCTATACACACACACATACAGCAACAAACATGTAATGACTGACTGACACGGACACTGTCACATGTGAGTCTCGTCTCGTGCTGCAAGACTTCTTACGGCCATCTGCTGTGCGACACTTTCCCGAATCCGCCAGTTGTGCCGAGCCCGCAGCAACAACTCACCCAAAACCTGAGATGGATGGCCAGACCGAGCTGCATTGGTGCCATCTGGTCTGATGCGGTGCTTCCGCTTATTCGTAGCTACCCCAATGTATTTGAGTCTCTGTGGGCCACTGGGCATGACCTTGAGGATGTCACTCAAACCCGACAAGGCCGCCAACTGCAGTGAGTGCACCAGCAGCACAGCACGACCACACACATGGCATGGCGGCGTGTGGTACGTATGTATCCACACGTCTCGTCTCCCCTCTCACTCACCTTGACGTCGGGGGATGGGTCGTGGAGGAGCCCGTCGAGCGTCTCGGTCAGCAGGGCCAGGCTCCTGCGCCACCCCCGCTGCCTCCGCTCGTCCTCAGTCAGTCCACTCTCGTCCTCATCGCCGTTGTCGCCCTCGTCTGCCGAGTCGCTGTCCATCTGGAACCGGTCCACGCTCCACCGATCGTCGTCATCCTCATTCAACGGGCCCTCCTTCTCCCCCGCCTCTGCTGGCGGATTCTCGGTGGTCTGTGTGGTCACCTCAGGCGGCTCGAGAGCACTCTCCTGACCCTCCTTCTCTGGCACATCATCGCTGGCCGGCTGCTGCTCCTCTGTCGCCTCGTCCGTATCTTGGGTGTTCTTGCTGTTGGCCATGTCGACCTTGTAGTGGCTGGCGAGTATGTGTGCGATGGTATGGAGAGATGCGGCGAGGGGCTTGCGGACCCGGGGGCTGGTGTGCCGTGCCAACCGGCGGAATGCGTGGCCCATCATGGGCCAGTGGGCCGCACCCGCAGTCAGCAATACACCCGCAAACGAATACGCGCACCATGACGCGGCCTCAACTGAGAAAGACAGAACGACAGACAACACAACAGACAAACAGACAGATGTAATGAATGGATCGACCTCGAGGCGCGTTGCTGTCTTGTCGTTGGTTGGTACCATTGGCAGCTGTGTTCCCTCCGCCGGTCGCCTCCCCTCCTGGGCTGCCTCCCGCCTTGCCGATCGTCTTGCGTGCGCCGACCCCGCCGCCCCGCCGCGTTGGTGCGGCAGGGGGGCTATCCGACCCGATGCCCCCACCACTGCCGCCAGCAGGACTACCGTCGCTGGACATGGACGACCCCGAACCAAGACGCACAAAGGGTAGAGACAGGTACGCCTCCAGCAAGGGCAGCGGCACCGCGCACTCATCAGTGGTGGTCCCCTGGTCTTCCTCTGGTGGCTTGCTGATACTGCTGCTGCTGCCGCTGGCATCGCCTTCCTTCTTGAGCAGCTGTTCTGCTACCACCTGTGGGTGGTCATGGTCACCACCCGGCTGTGGTGCGGCTGGAGATCCCGTGAGCGCGGGTGAGACGGTGGCAGTGGGCGGTGTGAGGGGCGGCAGGAGTGCGCGGGGGTAGGTGGCCTTGAGGTGGGCCTGCAGGTCGGTGGCGTCGGTGGGGACGGGGTTGGCCGCCAGAGTCGTCAAGAAGGGACCCAGCTGCTGCAGGGTCGCCGTCTTGACCATCCTACCAAGATGGTAGGATGAGGACAGGATGCAGCAGCGTCATACCTTGAATGCTGGTTGGGTTGATGGTGTGTTGGTGTGGTGTGGTGTGGTGTCTACCTCGCTTCGTCGTGGAGCAGCGCCTGCACTATGTGGACGAGAGGCCCACGGCGGACCTCCAGAGGAACGGCCTGACACAACACAACACAACACAACACACGCATCGATCGCATCAATCCATCCGTCTCCGCCCGGCTGTGCTGGAGGGAGCCCGTATTCGCATATATCCCATCCTGTATGTCTTCAATACCTGCGCCACGCCGAGCAACGACTCGGCACATGCCTTCCGGACGCCCCACACAGAGTCCTGTGCCAGCTGGTTGAAAGCAGGGATCAGCCGACTGGCGGCAAACTCGCGACCAACCACCTTACACACCTGTCGCGACACAAACAAACAACACGGACGACAACAAAAGACCTCTCTTTATTGGAGGCCTCTCATTCGCCGCCCTCCTGACCCACCCCCGACCCACCCACCTCGATGAAATTGGATGCCGTGGCCTTCCTGACTTTCCAGGCGGGGTCCTCACTGAGGCAGAGCAGCTCCATCGACACGAACTGCCGACACAGCTCGCGGCCGAGGGTCTCTGCCAGTCCGTTGAGGAGAAAAACCGCCAGGCCTCTCGCCTCCTCATCGTCAGGGTCGTGCGCCAAAGTCAACACTGTCGTCAATATCACAGTGCCGCGCTCCTGCAGCCCAGCCCGACGGCAGAGAGGAGACGCAGGTGACTTTCAATTTCTCTTCGCGACCCGACCATCGGTCCCCCCGTCAGCTGACCTTTGGTCTGAGGTGGCTTGAGAGGATGAACAGCGTGTCACACGCACTCTGCCGAACCTCACTGGCGCGGTCACTCAAGAGGTCGCGGACCAGGGGCAACAGCACATCAACTACACGGTCATACCTGCACACAAACACACCGATATTCGCGGTTGAGCGCGTGTCGCTCACGTCACGCAGCTGTTCGTTCGGACCACCTCAGCTCACCCTGATTCGGGGTCCGACTGGATGAGAAAGCCCGCCATATCGCCGATCTGTCCCACGAGTGTCTGCCGCACCACGTTCTCCGCGTCGGTGGCGAGAGTTTTGAGTATGGGCACCAAGTGCTGCATCGTGTTGTCGTAGCCGACCTCATGTGCGATGTCCACGAGCTCCCGAACCAGCACCAGCCGCTGGAGCGGCAACTTGCTGGACGAAAACCGCTTGGCCTTCTCGAGAGGGCTGAGGTTCTCGCAGTTGATGAAGTTGTTGGGCTCCTGCCGATTCGGTGGGACCACCTTACGCGCAAACATCGTCCCTGGGGAAAGCACGGGAAACTAAGAAAGACGCATCTCAAGCAGCAAGAGCGAGATTAGATACGACGGCAGATGCACTCGTGCACCACGGGCAGTTGGCATGGGTGAAGGGTTTCGAACAGGGTGTAGGGTTCGAAAGTGCAAGCTCAACGGGCTGGGCCGTGTTCCCTCAAGCCGCCGGCCTCTATCAATCGTTCCTCCATAAGCCGACCCCTTTGCTGCCATACCTCACCCATCATGGAAAAGAAGGTGGGCTGCACGCGACCCCTCCCCATCCATCGTCCGATGGAAAGAGATCGATGTTTGTGGATGTGTGTGTGGCGGGGTGGGGT